CACAGAATCACAGCATGGTCAGGGTTGGAAGGGACCTCTGGAGATCATCTAGTCCGACCCCACTGCCAGTGCAGGTTCACCTACAGCAGGTTGCACAGGACGGCATCCAGGAGGGTTTGAAATCACAGAATCTTGGAAGGGACCTCTAGAGATCATCCAGTCCAACTCCCCTGCTAAAGCAGGATTGCTTTGAGCACATTACTCAGGACTGCATCCAGGCGGGTTTTGAAAATCTCCAGAGAAGGGGACTCCACACCCTCCCTGGGCAGCCTGTGCCCGTGCTCTGTCACCCGAACCGTAAAGAATTTTTTCCATGTATTTGAACGGAACTTCCTATGTTCCAACTTGTGCCCATTGCCCCTCGTCCTGTCACTGGGAACCACTGAAAAGAGTCTGGCTCAATCCTCCTTCAACCCACCCTTTAGATACTTGTATGCCTGAGTCCCTAGGTTTTATAAATCCATAAATCCCCAGGTTTTATGTTAGTACAGTACAAGCAATAGAAGAGAAGAAAAATCTCAGCTTATTCTGATTCGGGGGGTCGGGGGAGAGGGGAGCTTGTTTGGTTGGGTTTTTTTTTACCTGCCTTTAAAAAGGAATAATTCTACTTACAGGCAATTCTGAAAGTCAGCAGGTAAAGTTAGATTGGCCATTGCATGTGGCTTTGCAGTTACCATCGTGCCCAGAAGGATTTTATTTGTTTTTTTTCTGCATGAAGTCCTCTGTAGCTCATAGAAACTTAGTATGAAGTAGCCTCACTTTCAAAAATGCACAGCAGGGGAATGAGTGAGTCCATAAAGCTACTGGGACATGCTTCCATAAGGCTCCCCCAAGAGAAAAGGCGAGAGCTGGCTTGTCTTTCAGACGATTGTAGAAAATTGTAAAGGGAATACAAGGTTTAGTGATGCTAAAAAAAACCCATTCCATTTCCTTCCAGCAAGGTGTGTTTTGACGGGGAGGGCTGGAGAAATCATGAATGCCTTATAACTCCCCAGTAGAAATCTCATTATCTTGCCTTTTGTTTTCTGGTGTGATGTATTTTTCTGTCATATTAAAAATGAATGGACTCTACTTTACAAGCCCTACCATGCATCATTCTGTCTTCCCATAGAGTGAGTCACTGTATGTTACATTCTAACTCTTGTTCAAAAGAATTGAGTTCACAGTGGAAAACAATTATGTCTCACAATAACTTTACTAATGCAGTTACTGTCAACCAAGATCTCGCTAAGTGGGGTGTTACATAAAGATGTAAAATGAAGGATGGAGAGGATATTTGATTAACGGGAAGAAGGCAAAGCAAAATAAAACCCTGCTGGATCTAGAATGCTTAACTCCCATAGTACCAGAAGTTTGTTACTCTATTCAGGCTGAGTAACAACTTGCTACAGAAAACGAATGAGGCAGTTCTGATGCTTTAGAGCTTCTACAAACTCCCAACTAAGGACAGATCCATCAGGCTACTTTAAATTGCTTTTTTAATGTTCACTCTAGTTTTCTGCTCTAAAGACTGCTCTGAGCAATGGGTTGACATGAGAGCCACACCGTGCTAGGATGGCTGTTATTTGAGAGGCACCCTATTGTTTTATTGCTCCTTCCCTGCTTCTATCTGGTTCCCAGGAGGTGGGAATTTACTGCTAACCTATGCAACTTGTGAATTAAGACAACTGCTATCATCTTGTCTGTTTCTCACCGTGTTCTGGCCCATTTAGTTTGCAGGCCCAATACTTGAAGTGTCCATGCAGGAGTATTTACTCTCCAAAGACAGAAAGAACTTCAGAAATTGTAGAGCTAGAATAAGACTGAGATTTCACGCCAATGAATTTTTGATCTCCGAGCCTAAGTTACTAAAGATTCCAGTGTCTCTGAACATTGCTGCCAGGTTTATGCTTAACTAAGGTTGTATCTCAGCTGCATTAAAAACTACTCACACCTTGTTGGTAGCTCCTGCACCAAAGTAATTTCTCTTCCCTTGCATACCCCTTATGACAGGAATACAGAGGTGATGAGTTCTTGTCCCTGGATCTGTGTTAATAAAACCTACCCCTTTATGTCTGTGTGTCTGGCCTGTACGTAATTTTCTGTCCAAAATGTTAGAAAAGGGACTCTTCTGCATCCTCATCCCTTCTTACAGAGAGTAAATTTAGCACGGTAGTTTCAATGTCAGCAAAGTGAGACCATGTTCTTGCCAATTGTTCTAGCAACAGCAGGCTGCCCCTCTGAAGGTGACGATGGGTCTTGCAAGTTTTAGTTTGGACCTTTGAGTACAGTCCCAGCAGTGTCTTCTTATAAGCTTATATAGCTAAATGCCACTGAAACAATACCATTGTAATTAGGAGTACCTACACCTGCACCCCCTATCTTACAGCAAACATGACTTGGCACCACCATTACAGTAATGCTGCCAAGTTGACGGTAAATGTTGGCTGTTGAAGTCATGCCAAGTAGGTTTTGATCAGTCTCACAAGACTGATGCTAAAATGATTTATTCTCTCTATTTTCCAGCTGGTGGGCTTTGTCTACGCCTGTTACGTTGTTAGTGTTTTTACAGAAGAAGAAGACAGCTGTAAGTATTTGTCAACAGATCCCTTGGCAAAGGTTTTATTACATTTTATTTCTCTCTCAGATGTCTATCAGGGCTGAGTTGCCATCAGAGTTCTTTCCATCTCTCCATCTATGTGATATGGCACTACCTACCTTTCAAGGATCAGCTGGTTTTACTGTGAGGTTTCTTTCTCCATGTCCCCATGTGTTAGATGCTATAATTCTGCTACTCTTTCAGCCCAAAAAAAAACTTGGTGTTGGCTACTCACTCAGGCTAGGCTTTAGAGAAGCTGGGCAACTTCTTCTGTTCTCAAGCTTATATAGCTAAATGCCACTGAAACAATACCATTGTAATTAGGAGTACCTACAACAAAGAACACAGCCTGGTACTCAAGTAGGCCACCTGCTGAGTATCATATGCCACAAGCCAAGGATGAAGCAGAGCATGCGATTTCTTTCCAAGAACCAACCTGACCACTTAATTTAACAGCAGAGGAAGCACTGTATCTGAATTACGAGAAGGAGGAAGGCACTTACTCTCTCATGTTTGGTATACAAATATCGTAAGTGTCATGACATGTGTCAGAGAAGAGCAAAGACTCAGAGGAATCACATGGGTGGCTGGGGCTGTGGGACCTATCCAGATATTTATAACCTCATCTTGGATTACTTTGCCCTTCTAAACTCCCTTTGAGAGCAATAATTTTGCAAACAAAAGAACAGATGCACAGGGTTCAAATTAACGTGAAGTCTGATTTCTTTGGCAATGTGTTGCCTTTCCGTGTTTGAATTCTCAGCATGTTTGAATCAGTAAAGTCTAACTGAAATCAGTGGGTCTAGGCCAGTTTACTCCAGGTAAGGATCTGATCCAAAGGCTTTATATTCAAGTGTCACTTCTTTCAGACATTCATTAGGATTGTGTGAGTAGCTTTGTTGTTTTAAAGAGCAGCTGGCATGGATTTTAGCTAAAAAACAACAGGTTTGAATCGGATATTTGAACGTATGTGAAGAATGTTGATTTCATAGAGTGAGATGAGATGCATTTGCTTATCAGACTTGTCCTCATGTTTTTCTGTTGCTTCCTGTGTGGCTGAACTCATTCCACTGACTTTATTGATCATTTGTTTAGAGCTTGGCAGTGCACTTAGCGGAAGTACTACTTTATAAGTAGTATTTTAAAAATTACCCTATAGCTCTTCTATTAGCTAAATAGCTTGAGTCCTGAGCCCCTTTTGAATATTGCAAAGTAATAACTTGACAGAACTCATTTTTATAGCAGGGATCTGTTAGGAGAGCCAACCACATGGAAGGAAGTGTTATCTAGAAACACAGAGCTGTTAATTTCAGGATACATTTGGTTTTTTCCCCACTAACAAATTCCTTTTCCCTCCCAGTTTCCCATGTTGGAGTTAAAATGCCAGCTTGAATAATTAACAATGACAAACCATCAATATTTCACACTCACAGTGGTAGATCCTTCCAGTGACCTGAACAAATTTGAGCTGCGTTTTAATTTTCTCTTCCATTTGTGGTTTCCTTTAAATGTTGCTTTGATATGCAGCATGAAGTAATTATAAGTGCTGAGGCACATTAATCAGGAAGCTCATGCTAACGTGATTTTCATGAGAAAACACAGCAGTAGGGATCTACTAATGCTGAATTGTGGGCAAGAATATTTTAGATGTGCTAATGCACTGTAATATATTGCAACAATGAACCACGGTTAAGATTTTTTTAAGTGACTTGGATTTTGAGTGCTTCCACTGTTGGGCGCTCAGGTGATAGGGTTTCTGTTTGTTCAAGGTATTAAAAAGTTACTGAAAATTGCAATTTTTTAAGGTTTCCTAATTTAGACATTCCACAACTGAGGTAATAGTGTCTGTTTTTTAAACTGCAGACTGTCTTGATTTTAAAATGCTTAAACATTTTCAAAAGCGGCCGAGAAAAGGTCAAGTCTCACTGGAACTACTGGGAATTATCCCCCCCAGTTAACTTAGAACCTCTACAGATTTTGCCCATTGACTGACAGTTGTTCCAAAATCACAGTGGCAGCATGAACCTATCCATCAAGATGGAATTTGTGGGAATACATTGTCCTTGGGCCTCTAAATATATTTTGAGAGGGTTTTTTTTTCCCACTTGCAATATAATTAATAAATACTTTTTCTGTTGTTCACTAAAAAATACCCAAACTCTTTACCTAAAATTTAAAATAATAGTGCCACCTTCAGGAAAGAAAAATAAACAGGCATTTATAGAGTTACTAAGGCTCTCTAGTTATTTTTAAATGGCATTTGGACCGGATAGCTTTCACACTTCCAAACAAAATGCACTAACTTGGCACCAAAAAGTGTTCTAAGCTGGATCTATTTTAAAGGTTTTTGCAAGGCCTGCTAGGTCAGTCACAAATCACACCACGTCATACCCCCACTGACCGGGCTACGTTGGCCAACTCAGTAATATAGACTTGGCCGAATTTCAGGGGAACTAAGAGAGACTTGGAAAATTCTTCTCTGGTTACTAAGGGAATTGTCACTTAAAACTTTCCTTGTTTAGTTACATGCCCCTCATGTGAATACTGGAGAAGGGAAGCATTGTTCTTATTTGTTTACAATTGAAAGAAACTGAATTGGCAGAGGGGACGTGAAAAATATCAGAGCTGAAGATAATGAGGTATTTGCAGTTTTCCAAAGCTGCTGTTGTCTGTCTTGCAGGAAAGACAAGTGGGGCAAGAAAATTCCCACTTCGCTATATAGCCTTCGTGGGGATTGCAGTGCTGCCAACTTCTCTGCTGGCATTCACTCCTGAGCCGTTCCCCAGCTTCCCTCTTTCAGCACATCGCTGAATGGCCGAGGCTTTGTCCGCTCAGTTCTCGTGTGAAGTCACAGCATGGTGGCAATACCCAAGGAGGCGGAGGGAGGCCTTCTTGTTTTTCTGGAGTCTTTTGTTAGCTCTCGGCTTTAAGTCTTGTGCTAGCTGCATCTCCTCCTTGGCACACTTGCCCATCCCAGGAGATCCCGGAAAAGAGGTCTGTACAGGCAGAGATTTCCACCAGGCAATCCATACCTGAAAAATCACTTTTCTGTTCTCTCACTGATTTTTGTGTTATGCCATGATGTGCACCAATTTTTTCTTTCATTTCCTTTCAACTTTCTGGCCATGTTTGTTTATTTATTTGAGTTTTGATTTTTTTTCAGTTGATTTCATTGGTGGATTTGATCCATTTCCTCTCTACCATGTCAATGAAAAACCCACCAACCTTTTGTTCAAGCAGACATACCTGTAAGTATCATCTCCTGTGCTAAGAGGCAATGCACGCCTCTTAGTTTGATGGCTCGAGAGTGCCACAGGTTTGGGTTTTTACCTCCTCGCAGGTTGATTTCTCCAGCAGGCTTTTCAGGCGTGGAAGGAATGAACAAGTGGACACCAGGAGGGGTGAAACTACCTGTGCTCAGCCCCAGGTTGCCAGGGTGTTGCTCTACTTGGCTTATGGCAGTGCTGTTCGGCAGGAAGCAGTGGGGGTGGCTATAGGATGTTACTGTAAACAAAGTACTGGATGCCCTTTCCTCAAAGAAAGCAAAGAGAGGCTTTTCAGCAGTGAATAGTGCCCAAGCAGGTGAAGGTAGGAGTTGTGAGGAAGGAAGAGTCAGCCTCAGTGGATGCTGAGAGTAAGCCATAGCGACAGCAGAATGTGATCCTCAGTCTCAAGGTTATATTGTAGTCTGTAAGGCAGAACCTCAATGACAGATCTTTACTGGGGTAAAATCTACGCAATGTCTAGTTATTCAAGCCATATTTTAGCTCTGCGGACAGACAGTCATGACTGAGCTCTGCAACTTTCCATCCGTGCAGTTTTCATCACTGGCCATGTCTTTGTCATCCTCCAATAATCTTCTTATGGTGGCACCACAAAATTTGACTCTGTCAAGGAGTCAGATACAGGGTCTCCCTGTATCTGCTTGTACTTCTAGGGAAACCATAGCATACAAAGCTAACACACCAGTGAATAAAGTTAAACTAAGCATTAGATCATTTGTATGCAGAATGGCACAGGTTTGCTCTCAAGGTTTCTTTATTATTTTTTTTTTAGTTCTGTTGCATACAAGAACAGAGGCTTCTATGTGTGGAGCATCCCAAGAGTTCAGCTGGGTGCAGAAAGGGGTCCTGACCACAGCAGCTCCTCTCGTACCACTAATAGCGATCCACTGTTGAATTCCAGCTTCTGCCCTCTGATAATCCCTTCCCGCTGCTGAAGGCACAAGATCACATTTTCACACAGTCCACTTAAAAGCTGGTTCTCTGATGAGAGTCTCAAACATAAAGGCCAATATTATCTGTTTAAAGCAGCAATAAGATCTGAATTTTTGATACTCTCTAAATCAAGCTGCAAGGCGGCAGTTCAACGTGCAGAAATGTTTTAAAGGAGCTGCTAAGGAAGGTTGTTTTGGGGGAATAATGTTACCAAATAGTCCTGCCAAAAAGAAGGATGTGAAGACGGGAGAGAAAAGTGGGGTTGAGGGAAGAAAAACTGCCCCCAAATAGATTTGTAGATGGGCCCCTCTAATGTAGTGTGAGCTTACTACCCACTTTGTCACTGCAGCACAAGACCAGGACAGCAAGTAATTTTTGCAAAGCAGTTAAATTCCCTGTAAGTTTGGGGGTTCTGTAGCATTAATAGAAGGGATGCTACAGGAGATGATTAAATATTGATTTCCCTCTCATTTTGTCACAGTGGGATGGAATTTTCCACAGTCTGCAGAAGCTGTGGAGCTTTAAGCAGCTCCCTGATTTACTAGCCTGATAGAGCAGCGTGCCGAAGAAACATCACACTTTTACAGCATGGGCTGGGGGCTGCTTTTTTCTTAAAATGACAAATTCTGTTTGTGAGAGAAGCGAGAACTTATAAGTGAAGCTTATTATATGGGGAGATTGCAATATGAACAGAAGCTCGCAATGTAAAACTTCCCTACAAGGGTCTTGGTAAGATGGTAAGCTACTAATGAAGTACAGAGATAATTGTGGTGTTCTTCAGTTCCATTCTTCAGAGCATCACTTATCTAGTGATAGCTTCTGCCAGCCCAATATAATATTTCTTTCTGGTTAATGGGAGGTGAAAACAGCTGCTGAGCAGTAAGTAGATAAGGTGATCCTCTATAAATTTCACCAAATAGCAATTTTTGTTTATTTATTTCAGCCTAGCTATTGCCTTTCACCCACACGTATGAATGGGAGTGAGAGGATTGATTTTCAAGTACTGATGCTGTGGAGTTTTGCAGTCTGGGGCACTGAGTGTCCAGCTGTGAAAATCATTTTTTTGATGACTGAAGGCATTTTCTTTTTTTATATCCTGCTCAAGAAGATGAGAAGCAACAAAGACATCCAACTGCAAGTTTAAATTTATAGAACAGCTAGGGGTCAGGAACATGGACTTTCTGTTTTTAACTCCTTTTTGTTGAAGGAAATGCTGAATGAAACCAAATCTATTCTACAGCTACTGACTTGGAGCTAACTGCAGCCATGAACTTTCATTTTAGGATGGCATCACCCCGTTGCCAGTAGTCAGCTGCTCTCCTGACAATGCACTTGCTCTGCTGCCACAACTCTCTAACAGGATCACCTTCCTTCATTCCCTAATGGAATTATCCTTTTCATTCCGGTTTTATCTATCCTTTTCCGATGAGATCACCCTCTTTCCTCCCCTTCCACTGTACCCTTTCCCTTGTCCTGGCTTGCATTTTTGCCTCGTCTCTCTTCATATTCTCTCCAAATTTATGAATTCTGAAGGATCTGAAGGCCCCACAGAACAATGACATTGACCCAGACCGATGAGCACAGCTCAAGTCCAAGACCAATCCCCATTACCTCTGTTTCAAGCACGCAGCCTATGAATTAGATAGCTTTTAAATACTCTGTCACATTTCAAAGATACTAAAGGGAGACTGCTGTGTACCTCGGCAGCCTACTTCAGTGGTTATCATCTGCTAAAGTCAATATTCAAAATGTACACCCTATTTCTCACCTTCAGCTTGCACCCACTGCACTGAAAAGAGTTCTTAAAATACCGTTGCTTCTTACCAGCAGGAAAAAACATCTCCCCAAACTATTACTGATAATAGGTACTTCCATACCACAATCCAGTTATCTCCCAGTTTTATCACGGTAATCTGCTGACCTCCTCGACATCCGTTGCAAGTCTCCAATTAGTGGGAAACCTCACAAATTATCAAGTCAGGTGTTGTTTTTCTTTTTTAAAAAAGCCAACGACAAAAATCAACCAATAGTTTTGTAATGTTGCTTTCAAAAGCATGTTTTAAGCATGCTTTATCTTAATTGGCACCTCCAACACTCACACAGCAACAATGATGTTCTATAAATACAGTTATTTCTATTTCAGGTTCCATGACTGCTTCTGTTCTACATTTCATTGACTCCAGGGGGTTTTGACTGTGATAGTTCCTATTTCAAGTCACAAGCTTAAGTAAAGAGACTCCAATTTTAATGAAAAAAAAATTGTTCTGGAAGTTTTACTATGTAACAGAATTACCCTTAATCTCACTGCTGCTTACCAATCAAGGCACTGCTCTAATTATTTGACAATAATATATTAACATATCTTCTATCAAGATTTGTAAAGTCTTCAGTGCATGAGTTTCTGGGTCAGAGTACTTAGCCAAAGGATAATAAGTCACTTACTGAAAACCAAAGTTACTCTCCTGAGGCCAAAAGAGAATGTTTCCAGTGAGTTTTCAGGAAGGAAAGGCTGAGCTTACTCCCCCATAGCTAGAGCTCAAATTCAGGCTGTGCTTGCTTGCACCATTGGCTCCTCTTAGGCTGCACAGGACAGGACATCAGCTCAGGGCTGCGTTATTTCCCCC